AACGTCTTCTCCCGTGGGAGTGGTGGGCGGCGGCGGCACGGATCCTGGAGTCTGGCTGCTGTCTACAGCGGCCTGAAGGGTAAGGAGCACAGCCGCAGAAGCAGATACCAGGTTAGGCTGCAGCTGGGTGGTCTGGGCAGTGGAAGCGGACGGCGACGGCTGCTGCTGCTGCTGCTGCTGTTGTTGCTGCTGCTGCTGCCTGCGGCGGGCGGCTGCGGCCCCCGCGGGTCTGCGTGCTACTTTGCGCTCGTTGACGCCGCGCAGTGGGAAGATGGTGGGGACCCGCACAGTGTAGGTTTTGCGGCCGCCCTGGAAGTGAACGCTGCAGAGACGGTGGCCCGTGGTGGGCTGGAAGGTGGAGAAGCACCCGCTGACGCCGGCACGGGACACATTCTTGAGCCAGAGGCGCCGCAGCTCAGCGTCCTTGGGAAACGTGTAGAAGTGCAACGCCTTGTCCCGGTGCGAGTTGTTGTAGCAGCCCGGCACGCAGCACGTAAATCCAGGCATGGCTGCGCCGCGCGGCCCGACCCGGCCCACCGGCCTCCTGAGCTTTTCGACGGTCGGGTCTGTCTGCCGCCGCCCGCCCCTCGACGGGCGGCGCCGCGCGAGGCCTTGGGCGGCCTCCCACTACTGCCGCCCGGCACGGCCGGCCTAACTCAGCGCCCCGTGCCCAGAATACGCCTCCCGCCGGCCCGCGCCGCGCCGCCGGTCCAGCCGCCCGCCTGCGCTCCGGAGTGGGCCCCGGGGACGCCGCGAAGGACCGCCTGAGGAGGAGGACTACGCCCCCCACAATGCACTGCGCCAGTAGCGGCTCACTTCCGGAGCGGGGGCGTGCTTATTCCGGCCGCTTTCCAGTGAACGGCGACGAGCCACGTAGAGCGGACTCTTCACCTACCCGGCTCACCCTCGCCGGACTAAAGAGGTTCGAGCTCTGTCTCTTGGAGAGCCCTTCGCAAGGACCTGGAATCCTGAAGGGGGTCGGGCGGCGCGTCTCTCTGCAGTGCGCATGCGCTCTGGGCATATGCCCAGGGAAACTACAAATCCCGCAATGCCTTGCGCTAAACTTGGCGGCAGCGGCCTGGAGCGCCGCCTAAGGGAAAGGTCGGGTTGCAAGCTGATCAGGATTCGGACTAGGTTGTGCTGCACGCCGGAAGCGGTCCCACAACCCTGAGCCGCTCTGTTCGCGGCATTCCTGCGGGGGAGGAAGGGCCTCAGCGTCCCACTGGGGCCTCAGGAGCCTCTTTGTCTGCGTTGGAGACTCCCACCGACTTAGACGCTGCTTGCGTTGACTCACTTACTGACCAATGATCACTTACAGTCATCAATGGGTGCCTACTGTGTGCGGAACACAATGCACGGAGTTGGAAATCCTGTAGGAACCCAGTCGACCCGACACGACTGTAGAGGGACTGAGGGTCGGACTTGGATAATAGGTGTGAATGCACGCTAATGGATGTCTAATTACAGAAATAAACGCACCAAAAAAATGAACAAGATAGGAAGAATTCGGAGGCGGAGGCCCCGGAAGAAAAAAATCATGAGGGACTTCTCTGGTGGTCCAGTAATTGATTAAGACTAAGCTTCCACAGCATAGGGCACGTGTCGCATCCCTGTTCCGGGAACTACGACCCCCAAAGTTGTGTAACGTAAAACAAACAAACAAACAACTTAAAAATCCCCGAAAGCTTGGGTAGGGAGGAGAAGCTGGTTCTTTCCCTGGGCGCCAGCCTCTAACGCCCTGAGGCAAGCAGGAGCTAGGCTCCGCCCTTAAAGAGACAGTACGGCAGAAGCTCAGAAAGATAACCAAACCAGGCCAACTTAAAAGATTTGTGATTTTATTATGACAGCGACTGCGAACTGTTGGAAGGGTGTGAAACGAAAGGATGGATAGGATTTGTAACAAGTTACCTCCCGATCCCCTTGACTTCTTTGGGGAAAGTGTTCTAAAGGGCAAGAGAGACTGGAAAACCAAGGAAGCAGGCTCTTGTCCAGAATTACCTGTAAGCTAGCCCTCCTCTGCTGAATTCCCCGTTCCTCCTACTTCTTGCCTTTCTTCTCCCTTTTTCCTGCCTCTCCCTCCTCATTTTGTTCTCTTCTGATTACAAACCACAGGTATTCATTCAAAGCCAAATATATGTTATTTTTAATTATTTGATATAAAAAAGAAATAGATCGGGCCTTTTAAAAAGAACAATAGCGCTCCAAGTTAACTGCAGAAGAGAACAATAGCACTCCAAGTTAACTTACTTTTTTTAAAAGTTTGTTATTTATTGTAAAACACACTCATACATAAAATGTTCTAGAAGCATACTGGACAGTGGGGGAGGGGGAAAGAACTATTTTTCTAGTTCCAACACCCAAACATTACCATTGCATTTGTTTACAACCAATGTGATCCTTTGTTATTTGTGTGGATTCCACAGAACCATCACTCCTGGCCAGTGCTATTGAGGGCCACAGCTTGAACCAATTTAGATTCAGAAACGCATTCTCTCGTATGTGTAGCTCATGCTGAAACATGTGCATTCATTTGGGTGAATCATTTATACAGCTATTAAAACATGAATACACACTTTGTTATATGTTTGAATGTTTATAAAATGTGTGCAGTAGAGATAAAATTCAGCAAAAGATCTTTGTATTGTTATATATTTTCATTGTCCTACAGTTACCGATGTTGTTCTACTCCTACCAGTCTCAAGACCTACCTTACTCAAAAAAAGTTAGTGAGAGGTCAAATTGATGTTATTTCTTTGTGTACAGAACATTGAAGATTATGCTTTATAGAACTCTACCTTCTAGTACATAAGATGACTTCTAATCTACGTAGTATTCTACACTGAAAAAAATATCTGGAATGCATCGCATGGTTTTCTCTCTACCCTCACTGCCCTGGCCACCTTTCATCTTGTCACCTCTGGAGAAAGGCAAGAACTTTTGTCACATGTCTCCCTACTTCCAATCTTGCCTCCCCTGCAATCTGTTCTTTACATCATTGCCAGAGAAAATATGATTATGTAATACATCTGCTTAAATCCCTCCAGTGGCCTGTTGCATTTAGAATATTGTTCAAACTCCTTTGCATAACTTGTTAAGACCTCACATGGTCTGGTTCCATGAACCTAGTTTTTTTGTTTGTTAAGTTTTGGGGGTTTTTTTGTTTGTTTGTTTTTTGGCCATGACACATTGCTTGTGGGATTTCATTTCCTGAAACAGGGATTGAACCTAGGCCCTCAGCAATGAGAGCACGGAGTCCTAACCATTGAATTGCCAGGGAATTCCCCATTTTTCTTTTTTGACAAGTAATAAATATAAAGTCACAAAGTTCCCCTTGTGGCTCAGATGGTAAAGAGTCTGCCTGCAATGCAGGAAACCCGCGTTTGATCCCTGGGTTGGGAAGATCCTTTGGAATAGGAAATAGCAACCCACTCTAGTATTCTTGCCTGGGAAGTCCCATGGACAGAGGAGCCTGGTGGGCCATATGCCATGGGGTCACAAAGAGTCCAGCAAGACTGAGCGACTAACACACACACACAAGTATAAAGTTTAATCAATCATGGAAACACAGTAAGGACAATCTATGCAAACAACACTATGCCAAAGTAAGCTTGTTCTCAAATTGTTTTGAGAAGGTTTTTATGTGAAAAAACATTGAAGGTTTTTATGTGAAAAACATGTGTATCATCCAGTTTAAGACTTTACAAATAATAAATAAATATTTTACTTAGGTTGATAGTGATGGTGGAAAAGTGCCTGCAAAGGGCTAGCAAATTAAGTCAGGTAACATAGAAAGTGAAAGTGAAAGTTGCTCAGTTGTGTCTGACTCTTTGTGACCCCCATGGACTATACAGTCCATGGAATTCTCCAGGTCAGAATACTGGAGTGGTTAGCCTTTCCCTTCTGAAGGGTTTCTTCCCAGCCCAGGGATCAAACCCAGGTCTCCCACTTTGCAGGTGGATTCTTTTCTGGCTGAGCCACAAGGGAAGCCATCATAGAGGTCAGGTCTAAATGACAGGGTGTAAAGTAAGGGAGTTAGAGAAGGCAAGGTTCGGAGAAAAAAAAATAAGACCAGCACTTTACAGGAACAGATCACCTTTAATGAGGTGAGAAGGGGCAGCAGTCCAATTAGCGGGCTGCTGGGCTAAATCAAGAAGAGAGTAGGTATATATAGAAAACATATATACATATATATGTGGAGATACATCATTTTGAGGGAGTCTGTTTTTCCTCATGTCTATTTTTGATTAGTTAGCTTTCAACAACTGGGGTAAGGGATTTCTGAGACCAGCCAGAGACTGGGATCAGCTGGGAGCTGAACGTAATCAATCTTAATGCCCATTCCTTTCTTCAGGGGAGTAAGTTCTTTATTCTGTATAGAATGGTGTGGAGGACCTCGAGGGGAGTTTTAACTCCAGGCTATTTTGAGCAGCGTAGCTTTCCTTCATAGGGAATATTGATATGATTTTCCTCCACAGTTCTCTTATTTTGAGACACAAAAATCCTATATTTTCTTTAATCTATATTTAAACACAAACACAAATGTGCCCATGCCTGTTTCCAGTATCTGATACTTCACACTCAATTTACAATCATGAAGGAAAACTCCACAGGAAATGCAAAACTCAAGTTCTATTTCAGTTCCCACTAAAACTTAAGAAAAGGTGAGCAATGGGGCTATCAATTGGTGAAAATATGGTAACGGAGTCTCCAGTATTAACAGAACTTTTGAGAGCCGGAATTCATCTCGAAATTGCTTGTGTTTGGAAATTTTAAGATCTCTGCTGGATCACAAACAGTTCACTAGCCTCCTAGCCTGAAAACTGATCTATTGTGATAGATACAGACACATTGGTTGGCAAATACAAATTTGACCAGGTCACATATAGAAGTAGTTTTTTAGAGGCCCAAATGTGTCTCTCCTCATCTTCGGAGAGGGAGAAGAGAATGAGAGACATTCTAACAATAGTAGCTGTTATTTTTTTTGTGGCCTGGCTTATTATATGTCAGATCCTGAGTTAAACATTATCTCTTTGAGTCATTACACACATACACACACACCCTTATTAGGTGGGTATCACCCTAAGGAAACCGAGGTTTCAAATGGTGCCCATATTTGCTCAGGCTTAAGGATGGAGCTTCCCCAGGAGCTTAATGGGAAGGAATCTGCCTACAATGCAGAAGATACAGGAGACACAGGAGATGCATGTTCGATCCGTGGGTTGGGAAGATCCCCTGTGGGAGGAAATTGCAATCCACTCAAGTATTTTTGCCAGGAAAATTCTACGGACAGAGGAGTCTGGCGGCCTACAGTCCACGGGGTCGCTAAGAGTTGGACACGACTGAGCAATTGAACACAACACACAAGGTAAGGATGCCTGCAAAATCAGTTTGCAAACACCACTGGACACACCAAGAGAAGGCCGCTGCAGGACTAGGACTGCAATCCCCATGGGGCTGTGCGGCTGCCTCACGAGAGTTGACCTAATTCGGAAGCATCGCGAGAGTTGGTTTAAATGTGGCGGCAGGAAGGCGACGGCTGTGGATACCCAAGCCGCTGGAAAAGTGGACAACTGAGGCGATGGCCGACAACTTCAGCCCTGACAGCGAGCCTACGACACGCACACTGCTACGGCGGGTGCTGGATACAGCGGACCCGCGCACACCGCGGCGAGCCCGGAGTACTCGGTCTGGGTATGTGAGGGCGCTGCCCCAGCACAAGAGCAACCAGAGGCCTTGGGAGATGGGGTCCCGCGCTGACTCAGTTGGGAGAGGAAAACTGAGTTCCGGAGAAGAGCAGAGCCCAGGACTCAGACCAGGCTCCTTTCTCCCCGCTGGGCTCGGGTCATCTGTATGTGCCGCAACCCCTGAGCCTCCAGGCCGCTCAGGACCTCAGAACTTAATTATGCAGGAGTCATTGGCGGGGGCGGGGGCGGGGTGGGGGGGGGGGTAGGATGCGCTTTTGGACGCGAAGGATATTTGCTCAGAATCTGGACTTCTGCTCTGTTCTCTATAGGCCAGTTTTCCAGAGTTGTCCAGGCATCTGCCCTGAACTGCCTCCCAGGCGGTTCGTTCCCAGCTGAAAGATGGGAAAGGAATTGGAGAGAACAGTCTGGGTAGCAGTCGGGAGGCAGGAACTGGAACGATGCTTTGCTAGGGAGCTGGGAATTTGGCTGGACGTGGTGGGAGTGCAGTGGGTGAGGGCGGTGGTGAGCTCATGGTGTAGAGGGTGTGGAAGATGGCGTCTGCTGACATTCTAGGGCGCTGCAGTTCCTTTACTGACAATGAGAAGCCATTCACTATAGTTTTACACCTATGAGTGACGAGGTGGGAGTTGTGCCATAGGAACATTATGTAGTTCTGGAATCTGAGAGGGGACTGGAGTGGAAAAACTAGGGCTAGAATGACCCATGTTTAGGTTGCTGTCCGACCCTGAAGAGTACTTAAGAGGTTAAAAAATTTTTTTAAATATCCTTGGTTTGTTTTAATGTCTAGAGTGGATACTCTTCCAGTTGTTCTGCTTATCAGTGTGGTTAACCCCTGATTTTGCCAAAGTCACCTCTGTGAAGTTTTCCTCAGCCCTTCCCTCTGGCTGGGTCGTCATATTTCCTTTCTCTTCCCATTCTTCTCTGGCTCCCTTTCATCCACAAACCTTTTGACACAGGACTGGGAACACAGCTATGGGAGGGGCAAGTGGTTTCTGGGTCCCTGTCCCTGAGGGTAGAAGACTTCAGCCAAGATCCCAGATGAAGATACCTCTCTAATTCCTCTTGTTCCCCTTTCCTACACGGTTCTCACAGTTGCTGGTCTTTACACAGTGCCCAGAATGACCTGCTTGAAACACCTTCCTCTAGGAGGCTGAGGAGTCAAACAAAGATGACTGCCAGGCATCGTTCTCATACAGCCAGGGTAAGTGCCTTACCCACTGACCACTATAGGGCTCTGATTGCCTTCAGGGGGCCCTTGAGTTCTAGCTCTGCTCTGGAGCCCACCTGGAGGGACTCTCAAGGCAAAAGAACAGACTGATTGCTTGGTGCTTTTCCCCAAAGTCTGTTGACAGATTGGCCCGTGTTCAAGCCAGTGGACACCTGGAGGAACAGACACCCCGGACTCTGTTGAAGAACATCATACTAACTGGTGAGCAAGCACTGGCCTGCAGTGATAATCAGGCTCCAGCCCCATGGTATCCCTCATTTAGAGTAGCCTGCTCTGCCAGCTTCACGCTCTCTTTGCTATTTCCTTATTTTTGGTTGCAATGAGTCTTCATTGCTGTGTGTGGGCTTTCTCTAGTCGCAGCAAGTGCAGGTTCCTCTTCATTGCAGTGCGTGGGTTTCTCATTGCAGCGGTTCCTCTTACTGCAGAGCACAGACTCTAGGGTGCATGGGCTTCAGTAGTTGTGCCAGTCAGGGTTAGTTGCTGCACAGCATGTGCAATTTTCCCGACCAGAGATCGAACCTGTGTCCCCTGCATTGGCAGGCAGATTCTTACCCACTGCACCACCTGGGAAGTCCTCTCCTTGCTATTTCTGCAGCTCCAGAATCTTCCATTGTGATGCCAGAGGCAGTGGTGAAGCTGGTGCCATCACCACAGGTGGCCCAGCCTTCCAGACAGGAAAGCAGTCGGGGCAGGTACAGTCAATTTTCCCCTTGGACTGGGCTGTTGGGGGCATTATTGGTCAGGGAGTCTCTTGGGGGGCCCCAAGAGCCAGAATTGGGTGTCCTAGTCTGTCTGAGATAAGCTCCATTCTTGTAGCCTGGAGCTGCAACTTCCTGAACTTGAGCTCCCCGCAACCCTGGCTCCAGGTCTCCTGGCTCCTGGCAGAAGGAAGCAGAGGCTGAGGTTGTCAGAGTTTCAACAAGGAATGGACTGGGGGCATCTTTCCCAAGGTGAGGTCCTGGACATCACCTGTGGCCACCCTCTCTGTTCTCTGGAAAGACTGAGGAGGCCTGAGAGGCCTGGTAACTTATGGTTTCTTTTTACATCTTCTGTAGAGCCTCGTGAGAATGCTGATGCCTCTTCCCTCACCAGGTGCTGTTGCCTATTTATTCTGGGAATTGCTGGAAAAGAGGCTTGGGAAAGGAGGTTGCTGACCAGGACGGAATCTGACCATATTCCTCCATGCCCCTAGCATGGTGGCTGTTCTAAGAGAAGAGAGCACTAGGGGAGCTGGGGGAATTTCTGGAGCGGGGGACGGGGGTTAGGCCTCAGGTACCTGACTTTCCTTTGTGCCTTATCCCTCCCGTCAGCTCTCTCAACTTGACCTTTGCCGTGCCTGTCCAGCCACAATCAGTGAAGAGGCCTGGTTTAGCTCGCAGACCTCCTACTCGCCGAGTGGTAGATGTGGGTACATTTTTGCAGGATCTGCGAGATACTTCCTTTCCTGTGGCTCCTCCAGGTAAGGTTGAGATTTTCCTCTTCTAGTCGATGGGGAAATCTTCCACCCCATGATTGATGGGAGGTGCTGTTGAGTCCAAGGTGGCTTCTCTCTCCTTTGTGTCAGGAATGGTGAGCAGTCCTGGCTAGTAGATCTAGGAGGACTTCCTGGTTTCTTTCCGCAAGTTGCCACTTATCTTGTGGGTCCAGTCTTAGTCCCTCTTAGTCCAGTCCCTCTTAGCCCTCTTAGTCCCTCCTTAGTCCAGTCTTCCAGAACCCTGTATCCTTGAAGAGCTATAGGACTGAGGGTAGGAAAGGGGTGTGATACGGTGGCTGGAGCTTATTGGAAGATTGAAAAGGGCTAAGTTTCAGGATCAGCTGGTCAGCCAGAGCTGACCTGGGAGCCTGATTCCAGAAAACAAATGAAGTTCATCATGGCAAGAGAAGGGTTTCTGGCAGAGGGATCTGAGTGAGAAGTGGAGAATGGAAGCATGGGTGAGCAGTTTGAGTGGGGCAAACTCACTTTTTTGAGTTCTGGAGCTTGGGAATGCCAGGCTGAGGAGCAGGGAGGTAAGCAAGGAGAGCTGTGGAAGGGAGATTAAGCTGAGTGCTAAGTAGTTTTCTCTTTCTGAGGGCCACTTGGGCAGACTCATAGACCTACTACTTAGGCCCTGGTGACTGGGTAGCAGCAGGTGGGCAAAATTCTGAGTGCCACCTGGCCTTTGATTTCCAGGTGAGAGCCACAGAACCCCTGTTGCTACTGTGCCAGGGGACACAGTGTTGGAGGACACCCAGCCCTTCTCCCAGCCCTTGGCTGACCACTCCCCCAGTGTATACCACTCCCTGCGTTGTCCCTCTCACTCTGGGGCAAAAGAAGTGGAGGGGGCTGCCCGTCGCAGGACACGGAGCAGTAGGCCTGGACTTCAAAACAACCGTGAGTATGTGGGGCATGCGACCTGGAGTCAAGCCTAGCTTGAGCAAGAATTTGCACTGGTGGTTTTCCCTCCTCAGGCCCATAGGTGTGCCCTTACCCTCCCGCAAGTCCCTTTAGAGGGCTCGTGATCCATTCATCCAATGGCAAAGTCAGCGTCGGGCCAGGACATTCCAAACCAGTGCCCTGGTTCTGCCTCTGGCCTTTTTCCCTCCTTGATGGGCTAGGCTGGGTTTTACTACTCCATCTTTACCCTTCGCAGAGCTACAGCCCTGGCCTACTGCTTTGCTAGTGTGTATTCTGTTCCCTAGATTCAGGTCCTGGGAAACCAGCCCAGCTTCTGGCAAGAAAGGTGGAGGAGGTTGATGCCCTTGCTATGGGCTTTCCAAACACCAGCAGTATCTCTGGAGAAGATGGCGTAGAGCCCTTACAGAATGGAGTAGGTGAGGAAGCAGAGGAAAGTATGGAAGAAAGCATGAGTGTGAGGGAAGTGGAGAAGGCAGCAGAAGAACAAGAATCTGCCAGGGCAGAAGAGCCTGAAGGACACACAGAGGTGACAGAAGCAGCGGGATCCTTGGGGGCTATTGAGGCCAAGGAGCCAGAAGGATCTTCAGAGGATAAAGACACCTCTGGTAGGTCGGGTAAGGGGCCCAGTAGAGGGATCAGGGAGTGGGTGGGTAAGTGACAGCTGTGTTCCTGGCCTTGGAGGAGGGACTTAACCTGGCTTGTGTTTCTGGGCTTAGGTAGTCCGGGGCCAGGGAAACTGAAGGGCACCTTGCTTGGCCAGAGCTAGATGGAACCATCAAAGAACAGGATAAGGGAGCTGCAGGCCATCAGGGTTGGGTGAGATGGTCAGGCCTGAGCCTCCTGCAACCCTGTGCTTCCTCCACAGCAAGTCCACAATTGGCCCCCAGCGCTCCAGAGTTCCTTCAGGCCAGGCGACTTCAGTTTCCTGAGCCAGCTCCACCACCAAGCACTGCAGTGTAAGATCCCATGACCCTGTTCCACATGGGCCTCTTAGAAGGGGGCAGGCACTGAAGTTGGCATTGG